TGGACCTCCTAAGGTCAGGAGTTTGAGATCAGCCTGGCCAACATGGTGAAACCCCATCACTACTAAAAATGCAATAATTAGACAGGCATGGTGGTGGACACCAATAATCTCAGCTACTCAGGAGGCTGAGGCAGTAGAATAACTTAAATCTGGGAGGTGGAGGCTACAGTGAGCTGAGATCATGCCATTGCACTCCAACCTGGGAGACAAGAGCAGAAAAACTCTGTCTCAATAATTTAAAAAAATTAGAAAGTACAGATAATAAAAAAGAGAAAGGTAGAAAACACTCATAACTCAGACATGCAAAGATAGTAAATATTAACATTTGAGTATATTTTCCCCTAGAATGTTTTCCCAATGAAATTTCCTTGAGAATTTTTTGTTATATCTACATATCTACATGAGTATATGCGTATATATGTATCAATGTGTGTGTGTGTGTCTGTGTGTGTGTGTGTGTGTGTGTGTGTGTAATGGTTATTTTTAAACAGGCATATATATATATATATATATATATATATATATATACACACATACATATGTTTCTTCAACTGATTGTTTCAGTCAATAAAGCATTATGAATATCTGCCTGTAATGTTACATATTCCTCTGCAAAAACTATACCACGTTTCCTTATAGTATGTTCAATTATTTTAACATGCAACTTTAGATGGTTTTTATTTTTTCTCTTATTAACTGACATGGTTACTCTAAAGCTAAACACGTTCACATTTACACAGTTATTTCCTTGCGATGAAATCCAAGAAGTGACATAGTAATTTTCAGTAACAAAAGAGAAACAGGTAAATCATGAAACGCACAGAGTATAGTAAGGCAGTCATCAATAAATGTTAAGAAAAGGGGATATAAGAAAAGAAGGAGTTGTTTGAAATAGACTTGCTATAAAACCCTAAATATAATCTTTTATTTAAGAGTATTTAGGAGTACTTGTTTGTTTTGTAATCGTGTCATGCATGTAATCATATGCTTGTAAACATATCAATGTCTTCTGACCTCAGTGGAGAAAAATGTAGCATGCAGACAGATGAAGCAGCTCAGTCAGTTTACAGAAGTCAGGTTTCGTGTGTGTTTCTGTGAGAAAGTTTGCCTCTCCAGCTATCGGAAATGATGACTAATAATCCAAAGGAAGAGCTAATCCATCTCTCTATTTTGGGAGGGTTGGAGGTGCCTTTGGACATTTGCACCGTCATCTTTCCCTTTGTTGCAGGTTTCACCTGCTGCAGATGAGACACATGCCATGTTCCCCAGCCCGTTGCCTCTCAAACTGGCTTTGATTGCCTAGTTGGATTCTCTTGGCAGAGCTGTCTCCATGAGTGCCAGAATAGAAATATACAGATGGCACAGTATCCATGGAGGAACAATTTTGACCTGCAGGAACTGTTCTGATCCACAGGCTGAAGTGCATTGATGAAGACAGGATGGGCAAAAGTACCCATTTTCCACTTAGTCATTCAGCCCCTTGTGGCAGCCATACTGAATATGTCGAGGCATTCAGCACAATGGCGATACCAGACAGAAGAAGCTGCAGGAGGCTAAAATTACATAGACAACATAGTAAAGGAGGTTGGGTGGAGACTGTGCAAACTAGAGACCATGTGGTGTCTTCAGGGAGGGGCAGCTGCTGCTCACCTCAGTGGATGCTGGCAGTGTAAGAGCAGACCCAGCATGGCTATTCCTGTTTTCATGAGAAACCAGAAACATGGATTTTTCATTCATATATTTTATCTTTCATATGTTATTAGAAAATAGAGGAAAGCATAAGAAATAAAGCTTATTTGTAATGTGTGTATATACACACCACACATACACACACACACACACACACACACACACACACACACACATATTCCTGGGAGGCAAAAAATGATGGAGAGACAAAAATAGAAATTTGACTTCTTTGAACATTTGTTATTTTGTAGATTTGACTTTGGTGTCACATACATAGCTTACAAATCTATAAAACAAAATTGTACTTTAAAAAGCAGGCATGAAAAAATGAGAGGAAAACATGAAACAACTGAACCTCACTGAGTATCATGGTAACAGCGTAACTCCACAGAAAGGAGTTATTTCAAGTGACTTTGAAATTTCACAGTTTGACGGTATTTTCCTAGCAGAATATGCTTTACAGATTTAAAAAACGAACACATTTTAAATTGTTTTTTATTAACCATAATGTTAGTGCCGTAGTGGTACTGGTGTTCTGAAACTATTCTGTGTGTATTGTGAGTTAAATGGATAATCATGTTTGTATTATTAAGAAAAGGGATTTTTGGTATAAAAGAAAGGTAGTGACATTATAAAATCCATGAGATGAGATGGAAGTCTTCAAGTCCTGAATTTGAATTAAAGTTTCATGTTAAATTATGTTATTTTTACTAAACACACACACACACACACACACACACACACACACACGCATACGCACACGCACATGCACACACACACATGCTTAATTTTCTAGTTCTGACCACAGAAACAAGAGCTCACCTAGTAACAATCAGTATCCAAAGCTCCCAGCTGTGGTTTCTAAATACCACTTCGCACTGAAATGAATCAGGACTTCTTACTAAAAATGGCTGATTGCAGTCCTAGGGCAGGACTCTAGGATCACCCTATAACATCTCATACAGAAGCCAGAGGGCCATCAAAGACCACCAGGCTATATTAAAAGGACGCAGGAGTCAACTTGAAAAAACTCCTTGCCTGAAGTAGGGAAATTAGAACATTACAGGGACAATTGGGCTAGAATAAAACAAATCAGAATGTTTATACTCATTGTTAAAAGGTAAAAACTTCATTGGTTTGGAAGATACTAGATGGAAGAGGTTAGATGACCAAATCAGTGTTTTGAAGATCAGCAATAAAGGAGGGAAAATCCAGCTCTGTCAATTCCTCTATAAACTATAATTTAGAGTTAACAAATAGTTGATGAGATGAAATTTCTCTGGTTAGAATTCCCAGCTAGTAAATTAAGAAGAAATTAATATAATTAGGATATAACCAGTTGGCAACCTCTGGTGAAATCATGGATCCTCTAGGCAAAAGGTACACTGATGGATAACCTCATGGCAAAAAATATTATGTGCCTACTGATAGAAGAGTATCCCATGAAGTAAGTTAAAAAAAAATGCCCCCCATTCCGCCTCAAAGATGTTCATGTGTAATCGCAGAACCCATGAATATACAACATTACATGGAAAAGGGGAACGGAGATTGCAGATAGAATTGCAATTACTGATCAGGTGATCCTAAAATGGGGAGATTATCCTGGGTTATCCAGATATGCCCAATGAAATCACAAGGGTCTTTGAAAATGGAAAAAGGATGCAGAAGATTCAGTGTCAGAGTAATTTTTGTAAGAAAAACTCAGTCAGCCACTGCTGACTTAGAAGATGGAAGTGCAGCCATGAGCCCAAGAGCCAAAAAGAGGAAGGAAATGGATTCTCCCTTTAGAGCCTCCAGAAGGGGACATAGCCTTTCTGACACCTTGATTTTAGCCCATTCTGTCCTGGTCAGACTTCTAACACACAGAAATGTAAGATAATAAATTGGTCATGTTTTAAACTATTTAGTTAGTTGTGTTATTTGTTGCTGTAACAATAGAAATACCCCAATTCCTAGGATATATTCTTTCTGGAAAATTGCACCTGAATCTGATCAAGCGTCTTAATGTAACTGTTTAGGGGAAACATAGCGAACAGAGAAACACATTATGTGATATTATGGGAATGTTCAGCAAAATGTAAACTCTGGGAAATTCTATCTTTAAAATGACATTTATCAAATAAAGTATATGTGCATATATTTATATATGTGTGGATGTATGAGAGAAAAACTGACTAGAAATTTTAGGAAATGACCTATTTATGTAGCAAACAATTGCTGTAACAAACTTAATTCAAATCAGCAAATCATAGAAAGAAAAAACATATTAGTGAAATTTGAACATCGACACTGGGTGTTTGGTATTAAGAAATGATTGTTACTTCTGGAGTATGTGTGTGAAGGAGTATAGGTTGCTGTAATGGATAACAATGGCCATAAATTGATAATTGTTGAAGATGAGTGATAGGCACATATGTGTTTGCTATCTGTTCTTTCTACTTTTGGATATACTATTTCCATTACAAAATATTAGCAACTAACTTGATTTTTTTTTTTTTTTTTTTTTTCGGTATTAGCAACTAACTTGACTCTTTAAATTTTTTTTTTTTTTTTTTTTTTTTTTATTGAGACAGAGTTTCCCTCTTGTTACCCAGGCTGGAGTGCAATGGCACGATCTCGGCTCACCACAACCTCCGCCTCCTGGGCTCAGGCAGTTCTCCTGCCTCAGCCTCCTAAGTAGCTGGGATTACAGGCACGCGCCACCATGCCCAGCTAGTTTTTTTTTTTTTTTTTTTTTTTGTATTTTTAGTAGAGACGGGGCTTCACCATGTTGACCAGGATGGTCTCAATCTCTTGACATCATGATCCACCCGCCTCGGCCTCCCAAAGTGCTGGGATTACAGGACTCTTTAATTAAAATGTTTTGTGACTTAAACACACATGTCCAAAGTCTGGATTTAATCAACAGACTGCCAGCTTGAACTCTCTGTAGAATTTTGGAAATAGGATCCTTCACTTTTCCCGGAGGATTGTCCTTTTCCCCCCTCCTGCTTCCCTTCTTCCTCCATTCTTTCTGTGCTGCCTGGCAAAAACGGCCTCCCCCATCTGTGTATGTGAATGACTAGGAGGCGTTACAAATTGCTTGGAATATAATTTTCTTAGAATGAGTAAAAAAGGTAATATGTATAACTGCACTGAAAATACCTCCTAGTATTTTACATGTTCTTTGGATACCCACCTACCCACCGTCATTCCACACCTTTAAAAAAAAAAAAAAAAAGAAGGCAGTAACTTTCCGTTTTTGACAGCCTGAGGTACTTTGAAATTTTGGCTGATCATATCTTCCTTGTCATCTCTGTGTTCTATTTCAGGATGGAATGGGAAACTTGAGGATCACAGAAAAGGGTCTAAAGCTAGAAGGAGACTCCGAATTCTTACAACCTCTCTACGCCAAAGAAATCCAGTCCCGACCAGTAAGTTTCTGCTGAGAGAAGGCATTATTGTTGCTCTAGAATCTAAATCTGGGGGAATTGATCTTGCTATCAGCTGAGTACAGAGGATTGGGGTGGGGAGTAACACTGGTGGTAAGACGAACTCGCTTTCACTTCTGAATCTTTGAGTATCATCACAGCAGTGGTGCTGTTGGCAAGTGTGATGACCTCCCTGAGCCTCTTCATTCCTGCTACCCAACTTTATAGATTATACTGCAAATAAGGCAAGATAGTAAATGTGGAGAAGCCATAAATACTTTATGAATGCAAGATAATATTGCTCTTTATTTTATTTATCAAGTGCTTTAAAGCAATTTTTAGAAATATAGAACCGAAGAACTAGAATTTTGATTTTCATTAAGACTTTACACTTTGTAGTCAGTGTTGGTTAGAATCAATTCAATATCAAGCTGAGTGTGGTGGCTCACTCCTGTAATCCTAGCATTTTGGGAGGCCAAGGCGGACAGATCACCTGAGGTAGGAGTTTGAGACCAACCTAGACAACGTAGTGAAATCTCATCTCTACTAAAAATATAAAAATTTGCCAAGTGTAGTGCTGGGCACCTGTAGTTTCAGCTATGGGGGAGGCTGAGGCAGGAGAATTGCTTGAACCCAGGAGGTGGAGGCTACAATGAGCCCAGATCATGCCACTGCACTCTAGCCTGGGTGACAGAGTGAGACTCCATCTCAGAAAAGAGAGAGAGAGAGAGAGAGAGAGAGAGAGAGAGAGAGAGAGAGAGAATTCAATATCAGTAGCTGCATTCTGAAATAGTATTTAAATCACCAAGACAGAGTATATACCCTGTTCTAGGCACATGGCTGCTTTGCATGCAGTATCATTATCTAATTTAGGTTCACAGATTTATCCACTGAGGTAGGGACTATTGTTTCCTGTGTTATATAGATTAAAGAATTGAGGCTTGGAGAAGTTTCATGTCAAAAGTTTCATACTTGTGGGAGGACGAAGGTTTCAAGCCTTCTCTGTTAACTATTATTTCCTTCCTAAGCTTTTCCTTTTGTTCCTTCTTTCCTTATTTACTCCTGTAGCAGTGATTCCTGCATACGTACCTTGCCTTTATTAACCACTGTTATCCAAATCGTGTGGGGTATTTTTTAGTGGTTTTGATTTTTGATTGGTTGATTTCATGTGTTTAGTTTTTATTTTTGGTTTTTAGTGGGGTGGTAGAATTTGCTGGTTGAAAAGGATTATTAATGCATTTGCTCTGCCTCGGATTGAGCCCCCTTCACCTGCCAGCAAGGCATAATGTGAAAGTTCCCCCAAAGCATTGCTTGCGTTGTGTGCATTGATTAGCATAATTATTGAAATTCAGCAACTTGGTGCAGTGGTTAATTTTATCTGAATGTTATCCAGAGTCTTGAATTTTATTGAACTGGAGCCACTACTAAATTGTAATTAAGTTTATTTTCTTGTGTGCTTAGTAAAAGAGAGAGAGCCAGGATGTTAAAACCATCAAAAATAGCAAATGAATTTAGCCATACAATGATTATTTATAAAATATAACTGGAACCTATAGTACATTGGCTTGGGTACTTAAAGTATGCAGAGTATTATGAACATACTTACTGTCATTGAGAAACCTATACCCCAGAAGGCGTGGTAAGAAGACCCTGTAATGTGGAGAGTCAGATGATAATTCTGCCTTGGAATGAACAGAGACAGTTTTAAGTATTTAAAAAATATCTGTTATATGCATTGCTGTTAATTTGTATCTTGCTTTCCCAACCTGGCAATTTGGTTAGTTGTCATAGAGCTATTTCTAGTTGAACTTTAGATTAATAGTCTGATCTGTATTGCACTTGTTTAACTCACTAGTTCAGTTTTGTCATTTCCTTATATGGATGTTGACATACCTTTTTTGTAAAGGGCCAGAAAGTAAATATTTTAGTTTTATCTTAAAGTTTGTTTTTTGTTTTTGTTTTCTTTTTTATAGCTCTTAAAACATAAACAGCATTCTTGGTTTGGGAGTCATACAAAAATAGGCCACAGGCTGTCATTCACCAACCCTTCTAATCTTTATTAGGAATAATTCCATAAATTATATAAATGCTCTTATTAGACTGGACGTGGTCAGCGGAGTAGATTTGAAGAACATAAGGAGAATAGTGGATACGTGTTGAGTAAAACACCCTGAAATAAGATTCCTTGGTATAGAATTAGTTATGTCAAGATATTGAGAAATGTGTTTTAGAAGACTTGAAGACAGGGTACTGGGTGCATCTGTTGAGTCTCTATGCAGGAATTGGATGTCTAGCAAATGTGTTAGCCAGCCTAGCTGGAGACAGACAGCTGATCCCAATTGAGAGATACACCTGCTTATAAGCTTAAAAAGTAGTGATTACTTACTTGTATATTTACTTACTTTAATATTAAAATATATGAGTTATTTGCAATGCTTTCAAATCACTGTTTAAAGAAAATAAGCCCTCAAATTCACTATTTTCCATTGTTTTAAATAACTTTTTAAAAAAATAAATATTAAAGTTTTATAGCATAATATGTTTCTAATAGCAAAATAAATATTTTCTAACTGAAGGAAAGAAGACACACAGATATGTATACATAACAAAATACATTAGTCGTTGGAGCTCTATCTGAAACTTGTCCCAGATTCATTCACTCTTCTGCATCACACTCGCACACCACACCCTAGGTCAGGCCGCCGTCCGTTCTCACCTACACCACTGCCATTGTCTCTTCACTGTCTGTTGCCTTATGCTTTTATAACTCATTATCCAAATCATAGCTAAAGTCATCTTCAAAATGTCAAGTTGGTCCACCTCTTTGCAAAGGATTTCCCACTGATTTCCTGTTGCATCTGAAATAAAATACAAAGTCCTCACTAAAGCCTATAAAATGCATAAAATAGATATTTTCACTGAGGGCTCCTTCTGGTCATCGTTGTATCAGCTCAGATGTCACCTATTTAGAAAGACCTCTTTCACTCAATCAGTCTTAGCACAATAGCCGTATATAAACAGCACATTGGTTTTTATTCCTTATAACTGTCATTCTTTCACATTTTTATTTGTTTATATGTTTGGAAGATCAGGTGATTGTCTGGATTTTCCCCACTGTATTTCTCAGACCTCTTGTTTTGCCTAGCACATAGTATATGCTCAGTAGATGTTTGAGAAACTGAACCAGTGAATCACTGAAAATGAATATGTCTCTTAAATCTATTCTGCAGAGGCAAGCACTGTTAATAATTTACTGTTTTATCAAACATTTTCCATGGATATGTATTTTTTAATAAAACCATACTTTGCATGCTGTTTTGTACTGAGGCAGTGATGGTCTCCTGATTATAACACCATGTGTAATTTTACTATGTTTTTTCCATGTTTAGATAGATACTTCCCACTGTGTTCCAGTTGCCTACAGTATTCAGTGCAGGAACATGCCATACAGGTTTGTAGCCTAGAAGGGAATACACTATACCATATAGCATAGGTGTATAGTAGGGTATACCATCTAGGTTTGTATATGGACGCTCTATGATGTTCACACAATGATAAAATCATCCAAAGACATATTTCTTGTGATATATCCTCATCAAGTAAAGCATGACTATATTAATTATTTTTGTGTCTTACATTAAAAAATTTAACACCTTTCTTGAAGTATACTTCTGATAAGTTACAATCTGATAAGTTATAAAATATGTCTATGCACATGAAACCACCAGAATCAAGATAACAAATGTATCCATCACTCTTGAGAATTTCTCCTTGCCCCATTTTAATCCCCCCGTCCTGCTGTGTCCATCCTACTTTGCCACCCGTGTTCATTTCCTAGAACTTCATATAAACGGCATTATATAGTAAGAGTATCTTAATAATTTTAACAATAAATTGTCCATTTTTAAAGATTTTTTTAAAAAACCATCTATGTAATGTCTAACTTAAAGAAGAATATGATTTTTTTTTTTTTTTTTTTTTTTTTTTTTTTTTTTTTTTTTTTTTTGCCTGCAGTGGGCTATGTCGATTTTCTGAGGAGGGCTATTAGAAGTTGTTCAGGCCATAAACCTTGGATATTTCCCTTCTGGATAACATCAAAGCACAGAGAACGGAATAGAGAATAACAAATTAGGTGTGGCATTGAAGGAAGAATTAGTCTTTCTTTGATATGCCACAAAAACTGAAATCAAGTGTATTGGCATGAAAAGGTAAAGCTTTCTAAGATGGTGATTCCGTCCTTAGGGCTTGCCTCTCCGTAAGCACCAGGATCATTGCCAGCTGAAAAAAAACTGAGGTTCTGGTATTAAAGAAGGTGGGAGGAATTAGTGGTTGTCAGGCAGGATCTGCCATGTGTACTGAGTCATAACATCACATGATGCTCACATGATGCTCACATGCGGTTTTTAGCACCTTTCCATTCACCAGTTTGTTATCTTCAGCTCACTAGTTGTTTTCTGATGTATTTGACTGTTGTCTGTAGACTACCTCTGGGCGACTGTCATTTGCAGAATTATCTGCAGTATCATTTCTATGTAGATCACAGCTGCCTCCATTTTATGGGGTATCACCTTCTGCTTTTCCTGCTGAAAAGAGATCCGTGTCCAGTTGAACAAGATTAGTCAACTACTCGAAGTGAGGACAACTAATGAAACATCACTTGACTTTATTGTGGTTCTGTGTTTCACTGATCTGAGAGGAATTGAGATTAGTTAAGCAATCCACACAATGTTCAATAGTGTATCTGATTTCATTACTGAAGGTTGCAACCCTAGTAAAGTAACTACAAATTGATTAGCGTGATAGCAATCACTTAGGAAGATATATTAATGAGAAATGTTCATCTTTATGAAGATTTCCATCTGGGAGTTGAATGAAAGCCCCAGGACATTCTAGCTTTCAGCCACATGATGTACAGCTTCTAAGTAGTAAAGTATGCCACCCAGAAAATAGATTTAGAAGGACACATGCTAAATGAAGTATTCAGCCATGACATCCAAAGACAG